TGGTGTGGCCATTCATTAGTTTTATTCAAACATAAACATGAGAGCTTGTTTAAAGACAATTTTTTTTGTTGTTGTTTTTGTCAGATTTACAACTATTTCACTATGATCAACATTACCTGTAAAACTCATGTAGAGTTACTGGCTGTTCTGGATAGTAAATAAAATGGCTCTATTGGTGTGACACCTGCTTCCAGTAACCACCACTGTTAGTTTATCTACAATGAACCATTTCACAACAAACCACTCTGAGTGACTCCGTTTACATCTTAACGATTGAATTATGAGACTTAGTAAGGCATGGGAACAAGATCCTAATGCATGGCCACGACTTAGTAAGCTGTCAGAACAAGATAGTTAAGTAATTATCTCGTTCCCATGCCTTACTAAGTCGTGGCCACGTAACATTTTTATTGACACAGTATGTCACCAGCTGGGCTCCATAGATACTTTAACAAATTACTGAAATTCCCCTTTAAGAGTGTCAGTGCAGTTGTAGCATTCAAACTTAGCATCTCTTTTGACTCTTAAGTTTGCTGCAAGGAAATGATAAAGTCAGTGGGTGTTAAGGACATTGGGCAAGCGTTCCTAGGAAGAAATTTTTTCGTACAACTGACTTATGCAGTTTTTCTGACAATTCTGACATTCACCAGTGTTTTCTTATTTAGGATTTGTTCTTAGGTAAGAACAGAATCAGCACATATAAGAGCACAAAGCTGCGAACAGTTATGCGGTTTAAGAACACGTCATGAGTCTGATGTAGACATAGGACCTTTCTCAAGTACAAATTTAAGAAAAAACTTAGGAATATTGGAGAACGAGGCCCGTAGTTTTCTTCTTGATTGTAGTAATGGATGATTATAGCAAGGCTCCAAATAGTATACAGTACATTCACAATGTGACAGAAGTGTTTAGTGAACTGGTATGCTACCACAGAGCGTGATTCCAGCCTTTAGCACTTACGTCAATACACAAGACACTTTACAACACTTTAACTGCTACACTCTTAAACATAAATTCACAAATAAATACATCATATTACACACCAAACCTCCCAACACTGATGTAGAGGCTAATAAACATGAAGATGACATTCAGCTTCCTGGCAAATCATTAGCTATCTGGCTTCCTTCTGCAATAGTCAGCTAGAGGGAAAACATAATATACACACATATTTCAAAAAGCCCACCCTCCTTCAGGTTTTCTAAAGTTTTTAACCCGGAAAATCTCACTCTCAAGACAACCTTGGCCCCACTGTAGGAGGTGAGTAGGCATGTTTACAACAGATGAAACAGTGGCTATATTTTTCATTTTGGCCAGAGTGCCACTTTAGCTAGCACATGAACACCAACTGTGCATTGTCAAATATGTCAAAAAGTCACCTATCAGTCTGCTAAAGTAAGAAGCTTGGCATTTTAATCCCACCACTGATGGTCTGTGGCCCCAAGACACTCCAAGGACACGATGAGCAATTTGTTAACGGAAAGTAGGACCCTGCCTTGTGTCTCGGCTCTTGTAATGAGGTGTTTGGACAGCGCACTTTGACAAATTTTCCACTGTGCAGCTGGCATGCTTCAGCATGGCTTCACCCCATACTGTCCAACGAGAGATTCATAACCAGCCCTCTGTTGATATGTTCTTTGCTTGAACAATGGGGTAAATGTACACTGACAGAACAGTGGCCACTTTGATCAAGGTATAGTCCCATATGGTTTGGCATTACTTACATTGTGGTGTTTGTTGTAGGTGGACATTCGAACTCTGAGTGAAGGAGGCCTATTTAAAGACTTGCTGGAGTCAGTCATAAATCACACCAGCAGAGGAATTTCCCTCCGTGTTCTCACCAACATATGTATCTTTGGATGAAATAAACACATATAAATACACACCATCTCTAAAAGTTCACAACGGGGCAACGTATTCGTCTATGCCAATGATCACGATTACGGTTGGCTAATGTATTAGCCAACCCTTTTCTTAGCTAGACCTGCTCTGTTTAAGATCTCCCCAAACAAAAGTTTATAAATGCATGTTGTTCAATGACATTTTCTTTGTGGGCAATAAAACATAGCAGGACTTTTATAAACCCACCAACGCACAGCAGGCCTGTTGTGCAAAAACAGGCCTGTGACCCATCATGGACGCCACGGCTAAGCCCTTAGCATCAGACACAGCTTTCAATGTCAAAGCAAAATTTGGCAAGAGATAATAGACCACTAAAATGACAGCATGTGGAAGAATTTCCAGGCACACTGTCAGAGGTGAATTAAACATTAAAGATTTTACACTGACAACAAAGAAAAAGGAAATAGAACCACAGCAGACAGTCAGGCACAATTAATGTAAAGCTGCAGTAACGAGACTATTAGTAAATGATGCAAGCATACAGAGAAAAAGAAATTAAGAGATAAAAAGAGAGAATTTTCCAACTCACTTTTGGCAAAAATGGTTGTATAGTACCAAAATAAGGTTGTATGATGTCTAACAATAGTGGAACTCTTTTCAGTGCTATATCTATATCGCTGCTGTTGGAACAAAATGATAACTTTACAGGAGAAGCAAAAACATACTTTACTTTTTATGTAAGTCAATGGAACCAGATTTTTTTCCAAGTCATTTTGGGCCATTTCCTTTGTTCCATTTATCAAGATATTTACAGACAGTATATGCGGTTTCCGTCTAATAGAAAAACCCTGAAGAACCATTTTTTCAAGGGTGTGGGTTCATCTCTAAATTAAAAGTCTTATTTTTCTTCCTTTCAGAGACATGAAAAAAGTATGTAGCCCTCTGAAAACTATGAAAAGATGGATAGCATACGTTTTACATCTTGGGCATTAGAAATGGTGCTTTATGAAGGTTATGAATGAAGTCTTTGCCAAATTGTAAATTCCATATTTCTGTCCTCTAAAATAACCGCAAACATATTATTCTTACTTCAAAAAAAAAATAATGACTTATGCAGAAATCAAATGCAGTTACCAATAAATCAATAAATAGCATCAAGTCCCAAAAACTCCTCAGCTGATGAGTAACTTATAGAACTGCACTGAAATTTCGTAGTATGTCAGCATAGTAGCTGAAGTTAGTTAAGCTCTTCTCATCTCTTTTTTTTCATCGGTCCAAAATGAAAAGCAAAAGCTCAAAAATGAGAGGTGTAGCGGATATAAAGCTGAACCATCAGAACAGAACGAAATTAAACCTAACAAAAAGAATTAGGAACTAAACTAAAACAGAGGAAACAGTAAATTCCTTTCCTCACGATATATACCCACACTGGTCACTTTATCATGTCCACCTATCTTGTATCTACACTCACTATCTGTTTAACAGCTTTGCAGGTACTGTTTGGGTGGTGGATCATTCTGAGCACTGCAGTGTCCCTGACATCATACTGGCATGTTAGTGTATGTAAGTATCTGACCACAGCATGCTTCTGGGTGGGTGTTTTTTGGTTGGTGGACTATTCTCAGCATAGCAACACTGAGGTGTTTAAAAACTCCAGCAGCACTGCTGTGTCTGATCCACTCAGACCAGCGCAACACACACTAACACACCACCACCACGTCAGTGTCACTGCAGTGCTGAGAATGATCCACCCTCCAGATAATACCTGCTCTGTGGTGGTCCTGACCTTTGAAGAACAGGGTAAAGGGGGTAGCAAATGATTAAAAGAAACAACACTACAGTCTGTAATTGTAGAACTACAGAGTGCACCTATGTGCTATGTGGAACTGATAAAATGGACAATGAGTGTAGAAACAAGGCAGGTGTACCTAATAAAGTGGTCAGTGAGTGTATAGTAGAAGTACAAGTATTATCTTATGAGAAGTACAAAAGATTGAAGATAAACATCCACTGTTTAAACAGAGCTCTCTTGTTTATTATAGCAACATTTCAACAACTATGTTGTCAGGCAAAACACCCATGCCAAAAGAACATGTATATATAGGGCCTAGTTAGTACCACCACAAAAGTATCTGCCCACCAACAGTCACGTTACTGAAAACATACAAATTACAAAAAAGAACAGAAGGTTTTGTATATATATTATCAATACAATAATCATTGAAAGGTCATAATTTGAGAAATGACACAATTAAAACAGTAAAATCAAATATGTAACTAAAACTGGGCACCAAACGGAGACATTTAAATAAAAAGCCCATTATAAAAAGGGCTTAAGGGGGAATTCCACCACTTTCTTTTTTAAAATTCTGCACAACTAAATCATTAAGATGTGAAGAAACGTCATTCAGAGTGGTTTGATGTGAAATGCTCACTTCTCAGAGCAACTTAGAGTCAGAATTGTTCACAGTGGTGGTGAAAGGAACCAAACGTCTGTAGAATATAATACCTCTGAAAGCTTCTTCACAGAAAGCTATTAGATAAAAATGGTTATGAATATGCTGCCTGATGCCCCAAACATTGTTTTATGATGGTTTCGGCCTAAGATGTATTTTTTAATACCCAATAAAGTAGAGGCACATGCAGGGTGTTCTAAGGCGTATTAGTACCCAAAGAATATGTTTTTTCACCTTTTATCACTATTTTACTGAAAAAAAGAGAAAATACTATGAAAAAATATAAAACTAAGAAGACACTGCTGGTTTGGGATGGTAAGTAAAATGGCTACATTTGTGTTGTAGACATGGTGACCCCTGGTTCCCATCACCACCACTGTAAAGAAATCAGCTTAAGCTTCTCTACGAAATGAGCCATCTCATATCAAACCACCCTGAATGCTCCTGTTTACATCTCAACGCTTGAATTATACAGAAAGCTTGCAAAAAACGGTGGAATTCCCCTTTTCGAAGACGAAGATATGTATCAAACCACAGAACTCAGCAAATGGATATATTCATGCACGCTGTCTTTCCTTTTTCAGTCCTGAGCAGACCGTGTTTACGACGTTTAGACGTGTTGAATTTACTGCTCCGTGTTCTTGAGAAGTCGAAGAGAGAAAAAACAGTGAAGTTATGACTCTCTTCATCTGTGTGTCGACGCCCTCTGAGCAGAGGGGGCTTCACTCTCTCCATCGTTACTCACCGAGGGCGCTTCATTCACTGCTAACGCCACACACGTCGAGCTACCGCTCAGACCACAGCGCCGGACACACATTCACTGACCTCATTTAGACTGAAATAGAGGGATGACAGATGACAAGGAGGGAGAAAAGGTAGGAGAAAGCCTTGTATCTGCTGCCACTGTCAGGGTGGGTAAACAGAAGAGGGCTAGCTGTCGTTTAGGCTGTGAAGTAGGTAACTTCACTCAGGCCAAACTGCAGTCAGCTTCTTGTTGGAACTTTCCCGTTCCACCTTAAATGGTGCAGCAGTTCCATTTTGGAGCCTCAGACTTGAGGCGCCAGAATGGAACTGCTGCACCATTTAAGGTGGAACGGGCAAGTTCCAACAAGAAGCTGGTCAACAAGAAGCCATGCTTTCGTCAACGGCTTCCTTAAATGAAATATATCAGATATAATCATTAAAGAGACAGTTTTGCGAATGTGTTAGAGGTATAAACTAACTACAACCTTACATTTGTCACATCCATCATCTATTTTCTAGCTTTATTTTAGCTGCTTTACTTAAATACATAGAAGAGTGCAGGCAGTGTGGTTAATACTATCTTTTCTATTAAGTATAATCCAAATATAAACTTATATTAATGTGTGTATATATATAATCTATTGTATGTCATTATCTATTTTGAATCGCAAAAAGGGTCTTATTTACTATAAAAAAAGGTTCTATGTCTTGTAACTATGACCCTTTTTGGTAAAAAAAGAGGAACCATTCATTTTAAAGGTTCTTCACAAAACCATATACAGCAGGTTTCCATCCTAGATAAGAACCATTTAACCTTGCAAAGAACAAATTAAGCATTCAAATAGCTCTTTGTCATGGTTCCATATATGACCATCGCCTTTACAAAATCTCCAGTGTTGAATCGACTCCTAATGTTAATGTAAGTCTGAGGAATTTGCTTTGCATCCTTCTAAACAAACTCATCATATACAGTCGTATGCAAAAGTTTGGGCGCTCATGGTTAGATTACATATTTTGTTGATTGTCTAAGATAGTGTAAGTACACGTCATCTACTTCTGCACATTTTTATGCACAGTTCCTGTTTATTTGCATACAGTTTAACATATTTGAAAAAAAAACAAAAAAAAAACATAAAATGTGGCCTGTGCAAAAGTTATGGCAGTTTATATTTTATGTTTTACTTTTTCTCCAATATTTTAATCTCAAATAAATAGATATCGCACACTGTTTTCTTTGTAGAGGATATATTAACTTATATATTAACTTTTTCACTGCGAAAATCAACCAAGCTTAGTTTCCATGGCTTAGTTACTATGGCTTTAAGTGAGTAATTACTGTTATCATGGATTTATTAAAGTGGTTACACTGTTACTATGGTTTTTAATTAAGTAACTGGTACTATTAACAGAGCTGGTTTATTACTATTGCTATTATTGAAACTATGTATTAAGGCACACATGCACATTAGAGAACAAATTTTATAACCAGTTCTCATATTGCAGTTCTTTGCCACATCAACGAGATATTTCTCACATAACCGGTCAGAACATGTTGCATAACTGAAAAGATGGGAGTGTGCACAAAAACAGTTTTATACCTGATTTGAACTCATGATTTGAACGGATCCTTATGGCGGTACTTGTAACAGTATTAGCCTATACAGTGAGTAAATGTTCACTTAACGTTTTTCAGTAAGTGTCTAACTTAAAACGAACGTTTTTGTTTCCATTAACTGACATTAACTTCTTACTGGGAACAACTACAAAGCCTGTTCATGGCTGTAGGTAAGGGGGATAAATTACATTAGTAAATGTTGAAACATGGAGCTGTGTTATCACTCTCACTTTAAAATGGCAGCCAGACACTAAGTGCTCCAGCGAGATGACAGACCTAATTCACATAGCAATGTCATTTCACAGTAGCTCACCATAATATTATGAGCGCTGTCTCTATCTCAACGGGCCTGGAATTTCACTATTTACCTTTTGGAGATTTAGATACCAAACACAGACAAGCATGAACCGTGGCATCTGCAAAGATGTGGAACTGATTTCTTCCTGCCGACATTCAAACCTCTGACTTTGGTAATGCATGCTGGACATTGTAGCCACACACACACACACACACACAGGTTTGTCTTTATGCAGTGTCAGGACATGGAGTCATACATGGCACATATGTATTATATAACAGTACTGTGCAAAAGGCAGTGACCAACCTTCATTTATTTCATTTCCAGACAAAATGGTCATTGAGTTCAAGTTACTTGTTTTCAGAAGATATTTTTGGAGTTTGCATAATGAAGGGGAAAGTCGGGGGAAACAGGAATTTATAAATCTCGACGGATTACAATTTATAGATTAAATGGGACTTGTAAAAAACAGCAAGATCATCTTTGAGAGAGAGGAGAAATCAAGCTAGACTCTTGTTTCAGATTGGGAAAAATCCAAAGGTGTTTCTGTTGATCCTTCCACTGTGAGAAGACAACTCAACACTATCAGTCTGAAAGGATGTGTGGCTGTCAAGAAGGCATTACTGAGGAAAGGAAGAGCTCAATATCACTGAAAGTGTTTGGGATTACTTGGATGGTGGGAAGCAGAAAATGCAGCCAGCTTCTAAGCCTGAACTTTGGAGGTGTTGAAAAAGCAGATTTATTTAAAAAACTGAAAATAGGTCTCCTAAGTAGAATGGAAGCTGTAATAAAGGCAAAGCATGAACACAGTAAATACTGAACAAATTGATATTTAGTTGTTGAGGCTGTGTAGTATTTTGTTATATATGTTTTTTTGTTTTTTTTTCTGCTTGTTTTCAAATGTTTACTTATCTTTATTTAAAGGTTTTGATGGGAAATGAAATAAACAAAGGTGGATTTCTGACTTTTGCACAGTATTGCATATGTAAGTATGTACACTGTTAGAAATAAAGGTACTGTTCAGGTACATTTATCGTTCATCAAGGTACAAACAGTGGTTTAAGGTCCAACTATGCACCTTAAATAAGTTTTTCCAGGTGAAAAGTACGTATTTGTGCCTTTTCATTACCGAATGTTTTAAAATAGAACAACAAAATAAAAGCCTGGAGACGAGACGAGGTGTGTGGAGTCAGTACAACTTAGAAAATATAATTTCAGTGGATTATGGTGCAGTTATGTTCTCTGACTAAAGGTGCTGAGATGTACCCTTGAGGGGACCACCCCAGTGACACAAAGGGTACTGCCCTAGTGACAGTTTCGTACCTTTTTTTCTAAGACTGTATATGTAATACTAATATTTTTCATATGTACTTTATGTATCGCTGCTGTCAGAACAAAACCTTATATCTCCAAAATGATCATTTTGCATACTTGTAATGTAAGTCAATCGAAGTCAGTCAAACCAGATTTTTTCCAAGTCATTTTAGGCTGTTTCTTTTGCTCCATTCATCATGAAATTTACACACAACGTGAAGAGTAACAGGCATTTTCAAATTACGTCAAATGCTGAAAATGGCTAAAATGGAGATACAAGATTTTACAGATTTTATTCCGATAACACTGATATGTAACTACCAATATGTAATAAGAATCTTTTAAGCCTAAAAACAAAACCAGCCCTAATCCTAACCTCAATAACTAAAAATTGGTTTTGCTTTTCATTTTTAAACAATGAAACATGCATCTTTTGTAAAAAGTCAGAACTAGTTTAGCTCTGTTTGTCTTTCTTTGTCCTGAAGATATATGAAAACAAACACACACACACACACACACACACACCAACACACATGAATCAGACTAGTGTTCTTTACGCTGTCAAGTATAGACTCCAGAGTATGATGGTGAGCAGACTGCTCTACGGTGCTATCTGCAGAACACGCTATTGCACCCCATTAACCTGTGAGTATAAAGCCATAAAAAACATTGATAAACTCTGTTTTGATTAACCTGACACAGTATAAAAGCAGAGCACAAACATGTTTGATCAGTCATTTTCTTGACAAAAGGTCTATACTGAATAAATAAAAGGAAAGTCAATATATTAGTCAAATGAAGTCTGAACGTATATCCTTTATATTACTGTATAGAAAACTGGGGTAATTTATCAGTGCATCTGAAGCTAATATCTCTATTATTTCTATGAACATAGCGTGTTTATAAATGATTGCAGTATATGAAATATACAGTGCTGTTTGTACACCTTTGACATTTCCTTTGTGTTCCCTTGCATCCCACGCAGACACACACCTGGTCCCTCTTAACTTGATATCAATCTGGCGCCATGCTGTGCAAAATGGAATTAAGTGTAGTGTCACCCTGTCTTTGTTTGAAAAGAATGTTTGGCAAACAGACTCTCTCTTGCTTAATAACAGGAGCGGCAGGCTGTGTGTATGTGGAGGGGGGTTGTTCGAAGGGCTGAACATTAATTTTTAATCAGGACAACTCATCAGTGTTTTGTGGAAATTCTGTGTCAGAGCGAAACTTGCAATCGGAGGAAACAATCTCTGTGTTTATGAACACTGAATCTGTACAGTGTGAGAATAACTGTGATGTTTTCTTTGTATTCTGTATTTAAGGTCATGATGTGGAGATCTTGACTGCTCGAAACCAGAAAAGATGGACATATTGAACACAAGCATTGCTGCCAATGAGACCAGCCGTTTTACTCCAGCCGAGAAGGTGCTCATCATTCTAGGACTGAGCTCTTTGAGTCTAATCACAATTATCGGCAACGTTCTTGTCATTGTCTCCATCAAGGTCAATAAGAACCTCCAGACGGTCAATAACTACTTCCTCTTCAGTCTAGCATGTGCTGACCTTATCATTGGCGTGTTCTCCATGAACCTTTACACAGCCTACAATGTGATTGGCCACTGGCCTTTAGGGCCTGTTGTCTGTGACCTGTGGCTGGCTCTCGATTATGTGGCCAGCAACGCCTCTGTGATGAACCTCCTCATCATCAGCTTTGACCGCTACTTCTGTGTGACCAAGCCACTCACCTATCCAGTTCAGAGGACTACCAAAATGGCAGGTTTGATGATCGCGGCGGCTTGGATCTTGTCCTTTGTTCTGTGGGCTCCTGCAATCCTCTTCTGGCAGTTCATTGCGGGTGAGCGCACTGTGAAGGAGGATGAATGCTACATTCAGTTCTTCTCCAATGCAGTGGTCACCTTCGGCACCGCCATCGCTGCCTTCTACCTGCCCGTGGTCATCATGAGTGTGCTGTACTGGCAGATCTCCAAAGCCAGCCGCAGCCGCGTCAGGAGGAGAGAGAGTCGGAAGGCATCTGGCGCTGGTCAGGAGAATAGGATTCAGTCTATGTCAGTCCCAGAGGGGAACGAGGGAAGAACACAAAGCCAGAGAGTAGAGGACATGGTGAGCCGAGGACAGCGAAGTGGTTCTGATGCTACTACAGGTAAAGAGTTTACCAAAAGATTCATAACTTTTAAACAACTTTAAACTGATTACGCACCCAAATTGAAACCCTTTTCCTCTTATCCCAAATGTACTATGACATGATTGGTTGCTGATGTTTGCTTCTGATTTTGACTGGGGCTACAAGGCTAATGTAGCTAACAAGTAATGGAAGCTTATAGCCACAAATTTAGCATCAAGAAAACTGCATATTGCATACAATTGTGTTTCAAGTTGTTAAATAATCTCAAATAGACTTGCTTATGTGGTTTCTGACAGTGTACGACGCTGTTATCCATAAAAAAGACCAAAAGACAGCTGTTGCTGCAACTGTTTTATCTATGCAATGTACTTTGTCCATTTTTGCATATGGCATACAGTGTCAGTAGCCACATAGGCAGTCCTATTTAAGATTGCTTAACATATCAATGCAGTTTGAGACAACCGTTGATGATTTATGCAGTTTGCACAATGCTAATTGATAGGGTATACATGTTAGCCTTGTAGCTCCAGTGCAAAACTAAAGAAACAGACTTCAAACACCAAACATGTCTTGGCTAATCAACTACATCTGAGCCAAATTGTGTACATTGCTTCAAGATAAAAGGTGTATCATTTGTACAGGACATTTCTAAGGCTGTGATGCTTCTGAGGAACATATTCAAAGCTCACTGGATATTTTCAGTCTCCCAAAATAATCTGACATATGGCAACAATGTAGACATTATGCTTTAAACATCGACACTTCTTCCCCAGGTGAGGACAGAGAGAGTGAAAATGACTCCACATCTGGCAGCGTTTTGGCCTCATCCAATCAGAGAGATGAGGAGGTGGTTTCCGTAGAAACTAACGGTGTCATCAAGAGCACTCCACGTAAAACCTCATCCCATGTGAAAGCAAGATGGGCCAAACTAACTTGCTTTGGAACTTCAACCAGAAAGAGCGGAGATGATAGCTATGAACCTGCCAATGCGAATGAGAAGACCAACCATAGCAAGGAAAGGCAGAGTCTGGTGGCCCTGATCCTCATGCCTCCACATAAGAAGAAGAGGAAGTGTGCATCCTCCAGAGAGAGGAAGGTGACAAGGACCATCATGGCCATCCTGGTGGCTTTTGTGGCCACATGGACTCCATATAATGTGATGGTGTTGATCCACACCTTCTGCTCTACCTGCATCCCCAGCTCCATGTGGGTCATGGGCTATTGGCTCTGCTACATCAACAGCACGGTTAACCCCGCCTGCTATGCTCTGTGCAATGTAACCTTCAAGAACACCTTCAAACAGCTGTTGATGTGCAGGTACAAAAACATTCGCACAGCCAGATAAAACAATGACAAGGGCTTTCATGGTCAAAGCCTGCATGCATTTTGTATTAAAATGGACAATGGAAAGTTCTGGGTCCGTATTCCTAAAATGTCTGAGAGTAAGAGTGCTGTTCCTGGGTCAGTTCTTCTTTTCAGGTAACAATAATGAAAAGAGTGTGCATTCACAATTTTTAGAGAGGAACATGTCTCGTTCAAATTGGAAATGTAAATCAGGTGCAACAGAGAAGAGAAAACATGAATAACAGCCCACAGTGGGGGCCGTGAAATACAAGCACAGATGTTATATGTGAGCTCATTCAGCTTATCAGTTCTGTAGTGGTTGTGTGGATGGGACACTAAATAAAGCTGGCTGTTACCAAAACATGCGCAGCCTGCTATTCAGCAGAGATAATTAACTATTTAAGACCTGACCTGACTGAATGTGATGGGTTTCATTTGAAAACGTCTTCCATCCAAAAGAAATTAGTCCAAATGTGGCTGATCACTTGGACCAGCGAGATCATTTGCACAAAGTCTGTTACTATACTAGTGGTTTTTAAACAGTCACACACTCAATGAATATATTATGAATACAGACCCTTGATCTAATGCATCCAATGTAGCACTACACTCAGGTCAATATCCTGTGATAATGAAGAATGTAATGCTTTGCTCCATATATTCAGGATGTGTTCTTTAGGCTACCTGGGAAAATAGAACATTTTAACAGGCAGATCATTGGATTTCATCCAAATTGTTAATTTGTGGTAGACTGGACATGGAATATGTTTAGAGATCTTCTGTTGCCTTCTAAGAATTCTCTGAAGCTTAAAGATATGAACTTGAGATAATATTTTCAGAAATCTGCTCTTTTTCTACTTATCGTCTAAAACCCTTTAAGCATTTAAACCTGGCTTTAAAACATATGCCAGTTTAGATCTTGTTAATAGTTATGTTAATTGGTGTAACCCAAAAACCCATTTTAAAGAAGATTCAGAAGTAGTCAAGGATGCAAAGTGCGTGTTTATATCTGAAAATGTAGATTTAATTTTTTGATAGCTTACTACAGCAGATAGCTGAAGGAAAGAAATCTGACCACACTGCAGGTTGTTAAATTAATCTAAAGGCTAAGCATACATGAGATGCAGCTTGTCTGTCTGATCAAGGTAGTTCAGATACAACTCTCAACTTTTTAAATAAGCCAGCTGTTAAAGTACTGAACTACTGGAGCTTAGGAGGCACCACTGTTTTCCCTCTTGATAAGTGAGCATTTATACTTATGCTGACCCAGAGCTTGCAGATGTTTACATTTTTGCCTTTTTTCCCCACTACCTTACATTTACATGAGGCTAATGTGACACTTTGGAAGGTTAACATATCAAGTATAATGTGGAATTTTATAGCAATAACAACATTAAGCTTATCTGTTTTCATGTATTCTTATTCAGAGAATACTTGTATAAGAACTGTAAAAGTTAGACTACATCAGAGTGGATAAAAGTCAGTATTTAGCTTGATATTAATAATTTGACTGTTTGCAATAAAGCCCAAAAAAATGTACCCACAAACATCTGAGCATCACTGCTAAATGCACAAGACACAAAAATAACAACTGATTTCAAAAACAATTTTAATCATTCAGCATAGGAAAATAAACAGACGTTATCTTACAAATGAACTGATCATATACATATTATATATTTTTTTTTTACAAAGTTTTAAATTGCATATGTTCATCTTACTAAGGAGGAACTATACAAACTTATGACAGTTTTTTTTTTCCCCGAAATCTTGATGAATACAATCTATTTTTATCTTAAGAGCAATTATGGAGAATGAGGCTAATACTTTAAGGCATTGACAAAACGTTCTTGTCAGTACAGTCATTTCAGATAATGGAATATAAGGTCCTTAAGAGGGCCTAAAAACATTTGACTAACCACTTACTAATGAAAAAGCATTTAAGAAATATATACTTTAAACAATATAAAGATGTTCAGTGTTCTTATTGCATGCCACTCAACTAAAAGTTCCTTCACATTTCTATAAAAACAAAAGACAAGGTGGCAGTATTGGATGAGGTAGTAGTATAAACGAAGGTGTGATGCCTGACCAGGTATCATCTAACTCTTTCACCCTCAGTCATCTGCCACAGACCCAGGTTCAACACTTTAAGGCATGGGAGCTGCGTTATCCGCTCTAGTCCCCTTTTAGTGATTTTGGTGCACCCGTACAGATCGATCCCAGTCAGCTGAGTCAAGTGATCAGCAATGAGCTCAAGTCCCTTGTCTGTAATGCGCACACACTGTCCAATGTTCAGGGTTTTAAGTTCATGCATCTGGCGTACCATTCTGTTGATTCCATCGTCACTGATGTGACATGAGCACAGGGAGAGGGACTTGAGCTGGTAAAGCCCTTGGGCAATGTAGGCCAGACTCTGGTCTCCCACTTTGTCGCAGAACGACACGTCCAACCCGAACAACCTGAGAGAGCCCATGGAAAGGTGCATGATACCAGTGTCGCTGATATTGTCACATGAGCGCAGGTTCAGGGTCCACAGCTGCGTCATGTGCGACAGATGGATCATGCCAGCGTCCGAAATCCCACCGCAGAAGCTGAGGTTCAGGACTTTCAGCTTGCTCAAACCCTTGGAGATGTGCTTGAGAGACAAGTCGGTCAGTTTCTGACAGTCCTGCAGGGTGAGATGCTCCAAGCTGAGGCAGCCCTCAGCTGCACTGCGGGTCATGCCGGCCAGGTGCCCAATGCCCACATCAGACACATGTCTGCAGCTGCGAAGGTTCAGGCTTTTCAGCCTGTGCAAGCCCCACGCAATGAGGAGCAACCCTGTGTTGGTGATATTGCTGCAGCCACCAAGTTCCAGAAACTCCAGATTCTTGAGATACTGTGCTATTCTGCCAAGGCTGGAGTCCGTGATCTGCTTACAAAGGCTCAGGTTGAGAATCCGCAGGCAAGGTATGTCCTGCACAAACGCGTGGCCGAGGCCATTGTCTGTTAAATTGTAGCATCCACTCAAATTAAGGCTCTCGATGTTTGGCATCCCCTGAATGACATAGCTCAGGCTGCGCCTAAGACTGAGTATTTGCACTTTTTTGATTCCTCGGGTCTGAAGACTGGGGAATAAAGACGGGTTGGCTCGTCGTAGGTGAAGTTTTGCTTCCACTCCCCTCCAGACAGATTTGTGGTAGGACGCGTCTCTCCAGGCTACGCAGACCTGTGCAACTCTGCCTTTGCCTTTAACGTCTAAGTAGCTAAAAATCATCGCTAAAATCTCTGGGAAAAGGTTTGAAACATGCGTCTCCATTTCAGCTGTTGGGCTAACTCGCGGTCCGCTCCGCCTCACTAAATAAATTAGCCAACCGGCTAACTGAACTTACTTTGCTGCTTCAGAATAACGTCAGCGCACATTAACAATGTCTCTCGAAATACTCGGTCTTCGCAGGTGAGGTTTCTCGGCACAGAAAGCACGAAGAACACCCATAAAAGCGAGTTTACCTTCACTGAAAACTTGGCGCTGCGTCGGATATCTGCGTTGTATAGAGTTAGCTATGCTAGCTCGCTAACTGGCGTTGGCTAACAAACAACGCTACTCAGGCGAAGGGCGAGAAGTCCGGGCGCTTTTCTACCACCGTGTCTCGGAGAAAGTCCAAACTGTGAAGCATCTTCAGTCAAATAACGCCGCCTTCGTACTTGATTCAAACTTCCACGAAGAAATTCGCCACTCTTTTTACCAGAAAAGAGAGCAGCTGCTTTCGAGAGAGAGACGGGCTGAAAACGGTCGCTACCCGGCCATTGTAACTATGAGGGCTCGTTTCCGGTGGCCTTTGTCTGCTTCTGTTCAAATCTTGCTGCGAGGCTCGGAAATATCACTAAAGTATTTTTATCACTTCAAAAACAGGTTATAGAAAGCTTTCAGTGTTCTCAGGTTTGCTGCTAAAACACAAATTATATAATATTCAGTAACTGAAGCTTGAACTGGTTTATTTTAGCAAACATTACTTCGCAGCCCCCCCGCCCACACTGAACATTGGACCAACCGACGGGTGCTTACGTCACTAGCGTAGAAAACGGCTTGTGTCTGATGAGGCCGAAACTGGCTTCCTATTTGCCAGCTTCTGGTTCGAATTTACCGTTCCACCTTAAATGGTGCAGCATTTATAGTTCGAATTTTCCCGTTCCACCTTAAATGGTGCAGCAGTTCTTATAGTTCTAATTTTCCCGTTCCACCTTAAATGGTGCAGCAGATCTTCTTGTTTGAATTTTCCCGTTTCACCTTAAATAGTGCAGCAGTTCTTCTTTTTTGAATTTTTCAGTTCCACCTTAAATGGTGCTGCAGTTCTTATAGTTCACTTTTTCCCTTTCCACCTTAAATGATGTCGCAGTTCCAATCTGCCGCCGGTAATTACATTCTGAATTCAGAATGGAACTGCTGCACCATTTAAGGTGGAACGGAAAAATTCAAATAGGAAGCCAACTTCAGCCACGTTCCTCTCTGATGCAGGAACTAGTGGGAGTTAGTAAGGGCGTCTTGTCCGACTCTGACTCTGTACTGCACTGGTTTTTCTCTCTATACTGATTTTTAAATCACAGACCGTAACGATTAATTTAGATTTATTCGCCAAGACAACGTAAACTTAGTGGATTTTTTTTAGAGATTTATGCTTAAGCTTTGCTTTCAGTTTAGTGTTATTATACTCTGCCATTTTTATAATCAACACAGACCACTCCCTCGTTCAGGCTCTTTAGCCTATCTGCAGACAGATTTAAGAGAAATCCAGACTAAAGGCTTTTTTTTACTGCAAAAACTTGATTTTAATCGTTTTAATAGTTTTAATCACATGGATGTAACAAGGAGCATTTTATGAAACTAATCAACATAGATTGCCAAAAAATACAAAGCTAGTTTGAAAAAGTAGGCCTCCACTTTAACCTCTCTCAACAACATTTCTAAAAACATTGCATTAGTAAAAAACTTTCTAGACTTTCCTATAAAACTACAGGGCCTTGTGGTAGATTTGATACATATTGCCTAAAGGCTATTCCAACATTTAATTACAGGAATGAAAAAAAAATAAATAATGTATTTACAATCACAATACAGTTCACATTTTCACTAGAGGTGTGCAAATAAACTCATTTTATTTACAGCTTCCTCTGCCTAATCTTTTTCTGTCTATTAGCTATATCACTAAGTCAGTATGTTGTTCAACAATGTTTAAAGAGGAATTACACCAATATTTCATAATTTCTAGATATTTCTCAGTCAATAAGATGTAAACAGTCATTCAAAGTGGTTTAATGTGAGATGCATTAATTCTAGAGAAACTAACCAAGACAGTGTCGTTCACAGTGGTGATAACGGGAACCAGACAAGGTACTCAAAAGAACTGTTTTTCCAGATTAACCACTATTTTACCATTATCAGCATTACATATAAAACTCCAAATACGTGTAGATTCACTGGATGTTTTGTAAATAAAATGACTAATCTGTGTTGCAGACATTGCCATCCCTGGTTCCCGTCACTATAAAGAAATCCGAGTCAGTAAGTTTCTCTATAATGAAGCATTTCACATCCAACCATGCTGAATGAGACTGTTTACATCTCAATAACTGATTTATGAAGACTTCTGTAATCAGTGGAATTCCCCTTCAAGTAGACGATTATTTGTTTTATATTGCTCTCAGTAGGTTTGTATGCCCAATATGTCATTTTCAGTTAGTGCCTGCAGAATAATCAGTGTTGGGTATACCAGCCCAAATATACTATATGAATATCCAAAACTTTGAATGATCAAATATTTCAATATTCTGTATTACTCACTCTCACACAGAGGTGATTTTAAAAATAGAATATGTGAACAAAGCATCAAGTAGTCTCACTTAAATTCCTCTATTGACAATTCATTTATGTTGTTACACAAAACAACCTAATACTGGTTGTTTTATATCAATTAATTTAGTGATTGAAAAAGTCACATGGGAATCTGACACAATACAGCACATTTTGCTTTTTATCTCAATGTCCATTTCCCTTTTCCTCATTTCTAGTAGTGCAGCTAAAATAAAAACAATAAAAGTTTGAGTGCAACATTTTTTGAACTCCAGCATGCTAAACAGGTAAAATCTTTATCTGAGGATAGACTGAAAAGTCCAAGTTTGTATCTAAAGATTTGGGATGTACATGGTCTTTAATTCAAGCTGTAAGCTATTAAAAAACTGAACTCAGACCCCAAAACAATACCACTGTGCTTTACCTGATTGATGTTCACAGCCCTAAGAATGAATGAAATGAAAATTGTTAGATTCCAGAACAATCATAGATTAAACATTTTCACATTCATGTCTTAATTATACATACATGGAGAACTGTAAACTCTCCATGTAACAGCAGGTACCTATGAAAACAGTAAGTAGAAATATCCCAAAAACGTACAGTACATCCATTGGTAGAGTACATCTTACAAAAGCAACAGCTTAAAAAAAAAAAAAAAGAAAAAAGAAACATCCAACACAGACTGAACTTTTTCCAATCTGAGGCTGGCAGCAGGAGTTCATCTCCAATTCCAGTTTAGAGAAAATACACTATATGTGTGTATTTACTTGGAAAATCCATCAAGCAATTTGAATTTAATTTCTGCATTCAGAATTCACTTAATAGCTAAAAGCTATTGAGCCATGATGTTCACTGCACTTTGCTAATAAAGTCAACTAGTCTTCCGGCTGGTCCCGAAAGAGTCAGAGCGGCAGTGGGAAAAGTCAATGAATATCCCGTCCTGGTCTGACTCCAGTGAATCTACACCCTGCATGACGATAGTTTCCGGGCTGGAGGAGCAGCTGGTGGGAGAGGAGACGGCCTTCTCCATCTCAGAGGTGGACGTCGGAGGGCCAGTGTGTAACGGTCCCGCTGAGTTATGGACAAAGATGGCCGGCGAGATGAGAGCAGGCTGTCCGGCAGCTCCTCGGATGACTCCGGATAAGGTGAGGTCATGGTCCAGAGACAGGCGGGGGGTGGAGCTGGTCTCTATGCCCACAGAAAGTGAAGAGTAGCCCTGCTGCTCCATGCAGGATGTGACCTCGCAAGCAGAGTGCCGTCGGATGCCCACGCTGCCCACTGAGCTGGCCTCAGAGTCGTATTCAGCCACGGGGGTCAACATAGGGATGTTGTAACTCTTGGAGCGCACTACTGGGTTAGTGGCTGGTGGGTCACTGGGCTTTGACCAGCACCACTGCAAACGCTTTTCTGTGAGAGTGAGCAATGGAACAAGGAATAATACAATAAGACATTTATGATATAAAGTGTACCATAACTTTTGCAGAGGCCCTATTTTATGTTATTTTCCCCATAATATGTTAAATTAATAAAATAAACAGTGATTCTCTGTAGCATTATGTAGTTGTGTTAACTTGTTTTCAATTATAAAATTAACAAAACATAATTTGACTGGGGTGCCCACACTTTTGCATACAACTGTATTAAGCTAAAATAAAAATAACACAAAATTAGTTACTGTTTTCATTTAATCACTAAAACTCCAGTTAGAATAAAGCAATTTAATAACAGATTAAGTGGTTAACCAGATTTTGAAATAAAGTCTTCACTGAATGGGTCATTCAAGATTTTATGCTTTACTGGCCTAATTTGTTTTTGTTTTTGTTCCCTTGTTAAATGTTTCTAATCCCTGTGGGAAATATTTGTGTTCCCAATACACATTTCTACAAAAGAAATAAACAAACAACCACATTGAAATACAAATACAAAATCAAGAGCTCATTTTAAATCATCTCTCTCACCAATAACACAGGAGCAGTCATTGGAATCACAGTCATGTGAGCAGAGCCCCTGCGTGCCCAGATAGGGTGACACCACCTTCTGAATGAGCGACTCCAACTTCACATACTCCTCTGTCACTCCTCTGGACTCGTGAACACCCTGAACAGAACAAACCACAAAGCACACCATACAGATCTGGACTTACACACCCACAGCAGGAAAGCACAGGCCAGTATTTACAGAGTTGTCTAGGGGTAGGGGTTTAAAATGCTTTGATTCTGGAATGATTGTAATAGCGATTATTATAATATTCAACAAAGTACAGTACTCCGTAAAAGTCTTAAGCATCTATATTGTAAATTCATGGTTTTGGGTATCCAGCCAATAACTGTTTTTGTTTGTAAAAACACTATAACATCAGAATAAATGTAAACAAACATGAATGCAATAAAACATAAGAATTTCTTGTTTTGAAAAAGCATAGTTGATTTTTTGAGCTAGTTAGAAGAACGTTTGGTACCAGATTTACTCCCAACAGGCTTTCATGAGGAGAGGTTTGGAAAATGGTTGAATAAAAAACACTGATCTACTTTGATGTACTTCCTAATTACATGGCTTTTTAATATGATTTTTTCAGGTGCTTAACCCTGCACAGTTTTGTATGTGCTCATTTTTTATTGGCTAAAAAATTCCATTGCAATTTGTAAAAGCCTCACTGTATCGTTTTGATTGTCTTTTTCTCCAGTCAGTCACATTTGTGTATTCAGTATATTTCAAAATAATTCCGAATCATAGCAAAATAAATGTAACTTAATTGTACTGAAATTTGAGATTTCATAATACACCAAAACTTTTTCCAAAGAATCAGAATCAAACTGAATAGAGGTCAGAGATTTAACCTCTACTCTGTACCTGTAGGACCAGAAGCATCTGGACAATAGATGGAGGGACACGAGCTCTCGGTCTGGAAAGAGCCTCTTCCAGCTTCATGTTCAGGGTGATGGTGTTCCGGAAGAGCAGCAAAGCCAACTGACGCACTGACGGCTCCTTCCCCTGAGTCAACACATATACACACTTTAAACAACTACAAGCACTGTACTTTAGCAAACAGCATATTTTAGTAATTTGCTTTAAAATATCAGTGAACAAATAACTGATTGTGACTTTAAAAAATGTGACAAATTAATTAAAATACTGACTGGAAAAATATGCGTCATCACATGATGTACCATTTTTATTTCCCTCCAGCTTTCAAGAGGATTTATACTTTGCACTGCTTGTCTTGTAGATTTAAGCCTTTTGGCCGTTTTTACTGGCCCAGCTCTAACGGCATTCTCAACAAATTCCAGCAAATGTGGATTTAGTGCAGTTTCACTGTGGTATTCAGTCACATACTGACAGCCAGTGTGCACCATGCTTAAAGAAAAAGTGCCAAGTAATTCCCATCTTGTCACGACTTGCTGCTTATTCAGTTTTCTAAGAGAAAATGACTTTAACGGCCTGTATTTGAAACGTTCCCCTCTCCTTATACTCCACAGTTGCAGCTACACTATAGCTGGGAAACTGAGGCTAAAAATGGCTCAATAAATAAATTCAGTAAAATAATAAATGACGCCTCAAATGATTCAGAAATAATGTCATAAGGCACAGTCAACAACAGAGCCATTTCATTCTGATAATTAACAAAGAGCTCTCACTGCTATAATAGCTCAATAAGAATGAAGCCTGGTGCTCTCATGTCTCATAGCAACACAACTTGGACCTTTAGTCTGTCACAACTGAAGAATGGCTACCAACCAGTAGGGGGCACTGCAGCACACATGCTCAAGTGAACATTCTTTGTTCAGTGTTGGGGGCTTAGTTTCTGTCAATAAACCATAAAGTGGCCACCTAGCCTTAGAAAAGAAAAATGTAAAATATGAGGAAACGCACAAAGCTGAACAATGTACTCTCTGTTAAAGACACTCAATAATGAAAAATGTATCCATTGCTAAATCTGTTGACAAGCCTGGTCGCCTCCTACACTGAGGCTGCAGTAGTCTAGAGTGACTAGAAAACACCTTCTGATGGAGCATCTTGGAGGTGGGAGGAATTTGAGACAAACCACAACTGCTTTGAGGTGGATTTTTGGGGGTGGGCTTTTTAAAAATGTGTTTTTTTTTGTTTCCTTAGCTGTGGAACGCAGAAGGAAGATGCTAAGTGCAGCCATATAACTGTAGTAACTGTGTTCAAATCATTATAACAATAGAGAGAATGAATTACTCAAATGACAGAAATGACTTGTCAGATGAGGAGGACAACAAGCTAAAAGCTAAAGTTAGCAAGGCAGCTGGCTAGACTGATATCTTACCTCAGTTTGGCTTTTTTAGCTGTCTGAAAAGGTAAAAAACCTCAAAAGCTTGGTTGTATTTATTAGCCTATAGTTTAGCGGCTAGGCTAGTGGTCAGGACACCACAGAGATTTCCAAGTAAATAAAATAAATAAATAAATCCTGCTAGCTAGCCAATACAGAAAGGAGCCGGAAAGCTGACCTTACTGCTAGCCGAAAATTACATTTGTAGTTTTTAGCCTCTACATCAGTGCATTTCCTTGTCACTGTAGACAGATTCCCAATGGTTGTATAATGTATTTCCACAATGCATGCTGGGTATTGTAGTGAGAGAACAGATAAACGAAAACAGGAAAACACCATAAAATTCTGTCCTACTGATGAGGCTGAGGGATATAATGCTACACTAGCATTATATCCCTGTTATTTAAAGGGGAATGACCCTTTTTAGTTAACGGGTTGGATCAGGTGTTGCAGCAGGGAAGACTGTAAAATACGCAGATCAGTGGTGCTCCAGGACCAGTACTGAGGACCAATGCTCTAACCGCTCACTAAATGTGTCACATTCTGTTGTAACCTGACCAGCCTCAGACGTTCCAGATAAGATTCTGTGGGTGTTTGGATGATTCAAGGTCTTCACATGATCCAAAACGCACAGGTCACACATTTTAGGTCAGGTTACGTATTGTGAAATTATCAGCAAATAGTGATATCCATGCTGGAGGCATGAAAGTGTGGACAAAGCTAGTAGCATTTTGGTGATAAACAGAATAAACATACCCTAATGGAAAAACAGTGGACACAGAGATACAGAACAAAGCAGAAGGCCTGGGCTACAGCAGCTACCTGGACCGGGTGAAAGATGGCCTGTAACATGGACAGAACGTCACAAAAGAAGAAGTCCCACGTCTCTGCCAGCGAGTCGAGTAATTTTTGACCTGATAAAAGAAGGGAAGGTTGTAGGTTGTAGTCTGATAACTTTGCAGTCACCCTGAATCACATATTTACATTTAAATATGCAAACAATTCAATCTACTACTATATAATCATGCAGACGGCTCTGCTCATGGAGAGTGGGACTGACATATTTACCTTCATAGAATCTTATTTTGTCCCTCAGGATCACCATGCCTTTAGTCAGCAGCTGGTTCTGAAGAAACAGAGAGAAAGAGACATTTTCAAATAATTGAATGAATCTATTGTTTCAACATAGATACAGGTTGCGATATGTTGCCTTACCTGCAGGTACTCGGTGAAAAAAGAGCCCAGCTCAGTTTTCAGCAGCTGCCTGAATCAGTGGACAAAAAACAGAAAAGGTTAATAAACTTTATATCATGTTATAAATAATTTTACACTAATATCTTTTTTTCTGAACAGGGATTAAGCGTAGTACAGGACTACATAGGATTTTGAATGGAAACTGATTTGTACAATATAGAAATTTGCACAAAAGCAAAATTAGTGAAGAAAAGATATGCACCGAGATGAAATAACACATAACATATCAGTGTCTACCAATGTGCTGTTACGCCTGTAGCTATGCTGTTATGTGCTAGCTGTGCGTTCTGGCAGTTTCGCTGCTGATAAAAGCTCTTGGTTTAGGCCGAGCTAACACACAGCTCACAGCTGACCCCAGACTGAGGAGTTACTAAAGCAATGTCTGGGAGAAGTGACTCTAGTTTAACTCTTCTGACTCACCTTACTCCTTCATTGAGTGTATACAGCTCATTGTCTGCCAACCCCTTCTTTTGGAAAACTCCTATAACTGCATTGTGAATGCTGCAATAAACACACAGAAACAGATAAGAATCTCAAACGCGTTCCTGAAAATACTGTTGCTGTCATGTCAAAATGTCTCTGTTGCCTTTTTTTAATGCCAGATGTCTTTTTATACTGTGTGAGCATTTCATGAGGAATAGACCAACAGAAATGGGCCAGAATAAATTGGAATAAAAAAAAAGTTTTAACATTAATGTACAGTACTTTGCAAAGAGATCACTCTTTATTTATTTATTTTCCAGTCCAAATGGCCATTAAGTACGAGTTATTATTTTTTTTAGAAGACCTTTCAGATGAGATTAGATTTAAGATAATTCAATTGCATAAGGACAGGGAAAGTCAAGGGAAAATAGTTGGAAAAAACAAGACCTGCTAGGCCACTAAATCTGTCCCCATCAGATAAACAGCACTTCAAAATTTCATCTTTGAGAGAGAGGAGAAAATCAAGCTGCTTCAGATCTGAACATTCACAGGTGTTTGTCCATCCTTCCACTGTGAGAAGACAACTCAGCGCTATGAGTCTGAAAGGCTGTGCAGCTGTCAAGAAGCTCTTGAGTAAAGAAAATAGACGAAAAAGAAGAACATGTGCAAATCAAACAAAGAAGTTCGTTGACTTCAACACCACAAAATCCAGTTGTCACTAAATGTGTCTGGGATTATTTGGGTCATGAGAAGCAGAAAATGCACCCAACTTCTCAATATCCGTGCAGATTGTTTTGGAAAACTGAAAACTTCTTCCCAGAAGAAGAATTGAAGCTGTAATGAATACTGCTTTTGTATATATTTATTTGGTGAGGCATCTGTGTAATTTTCTGTTAAATATATGTTTCTGCTTTTTTCCTGATGCTGAAAAACGAATATTTTGTACTTATTGCCCACTGGATACTAAAAAATGAAGAGCGGTCACTGACTTTTGCACAGTACTGTACATTAAAGTTTACCCCTTAAACGGCCAGGAGCCGCTGACAGATCCAAACTTTTATTACACACCTCTAAAATCTAAAAATAACTATGTTTGCACTGCAGTCCATGAAGTAACTGAATGATATGATAAGCCTTATGATGAGTCGGTGATTTAAAGTGGTTAGGAAAGTTTTTTTTCCTCCTATATTACAGTTTCAGAGTTCACTACAGTTTTTTTGTTTTTTTTATAACAGCCACAAAACGCTCATTCTGGCCAAAAGTACAATCATTTACCAGATGCACTTTGAACACTTTCTTCACAGGATCCAACACGGCACCAAGTCTCATTTGTGGTGATTCAGCATGAAGTTTTGTTACGATGGCGACAATTTAAGGTTATGTGAGCAAGAATATGACCAGGCTATTGATCAAAAACACACACTGGATGTTTTTAATAGAAATGTGGGAAGTGAAAGCAGGCAGTGTTCCGAGCGTTCACCTGTTCCAGGTGGCGTTGGGTCCTGAGCCTTGCTCTTCTAGAGAAGTCTTCTCGCTCTTACCCAGCTGGCTCAGGTTCGGAGAGCTCACCAACTTCAGCCGGTACAGAGTCCTCATGATCACGAGAGAAAAAAACAGAACAGCTGTTAGTCCTGAGCTGAGAGAGAGAGAGAGAGAGAGTGACTGTGAAGGGAGGGGATATAAATGAAAGTGGTGCTAAAGGCCGACCAGGAGACTTCAAAAATCATTTCTCAATCCTTCCTCTTCACATGATTTTCTCTCTCTTACCCTCTCTCTCTCTCTCTCTCTCATTTACATGTTCTTTCTCTTGCTCTCTTTTCTCACTCTCAATTTCTTCCTTCCTCTTTTTCTCACTCTATGGTTCTCTTTTTTTCCACTCTTACACACTCTCTCTCCCCCGTTTTCTTCCTCTCATTATCACTCACTCACTCTTCTTTTTCTTTCTCTGCTTGTTTTCTTTCTTTTCTCCCTTTTTAACTCACTTTCTCCCATTTCTTTCATTTCCTTGGCTCCTTCTCTTTCGTTTCTTTCTCTCCTCTCACTCTTACTCAGACTCTCTTTCTTTCTTCTTCCCTTTCTTTACTTGTCTCGTCTCTCTCTCTCTTACACACTCTCTCCCACTGTTTTCTTCTTTCTCTTATCATAGCTCACCCTCCCTTTCTCTCTTATTTTACTTTCACTCACTTTCTCTCACTTCTTCCTGCTCCCCTTTCTCTCTTTTCACTTATTCTCTCCCTCCTCCATTTCCTTCTCTTTCATTTCTCTTTCTCCTCTCTTACTCAGACTCTTCTTTCTTTGTTCCTTCCTTTTTTATGTCTCGTCTCACTCACTCTCTCTAAAACACAGAGGCCTGTCCACCCCCACAAAAAAAAAATAAGACGAACTTATTACATATAACTGTGTAACAGACTCTGCCAACAAAGCTTTGCGCTCTTTTACTTTAGCAGTTCATTGTCAGTGAACTAAAAAATATCTGATAGGTTTGAGCGCCAACATAACAGTATGGGGATCAAACTTGAGGGTTTTAGCGCCGTCACTAATACTGTATGAAATATTTGAATATTTGAGCATTCCAACTGTCCATTGGTAACAGTTTTGGATATAACACGGTTTGGAAGAGAATAACATCTGACATATAATGAAAAACATTTTTATTTATCTATTAAAGTGTTATTAAGGGTTAAGTGATATTAATTATAATATGGCTATTACTATTTCTTGTATGTGTAAAACTGCCAACGATCACACTCACACACACACTCACACACACACTCACACTCACACACACTTTCTAAACCGCTTATCTTGCTGGGTCGCGGTGGGGTGCTGGAGCCTATCTCAACGGTCATTGGGCTGAAGGCAGGAAACACCCTGGACAGGTCGACCAGTCCATCGCAGGACAGACAGACAGAAAAACATACACATCCACACACACATTCACACCTAGAGACAATTCAGCATGTCCAGTTGGCCAGACTGCATGTCTTTGGACTGTGGGAGGAAACCCACGCAGACACGGGGAGAACATGCAAACTTCACACAGAAACGAAGCTGGTTGCCCAGCCGGGAATCGAAGGCCCACTGCGCCACCGTGCCTCCACAACACATATCATATTAAAAAATAAATAAATAAAAAATTGGCCCATAATGTGTTTAACTCTTAATTTACAGGTACAGTACTACTCCTCAAAATAAACCACAAAGAAAAACACTGCTTTGATTTGTTTTCAAAACATTCTGAAATGCCAGGTTTCCCCAACTTTGACGGGCAGTTAACAGACTAATCGTCTCTATCTGAGCGTCTTTCTCTCTCTCTGCTGTTCGGGCCGGGCAGAGAACATCCCAGCAGTAGCAATTTCACAAAGAGCGCAAGGCCACTGAGGTGGCTGGGGACAGCGCAGCGTGACGTAAGAGCAGGCTGGCAGTGTAAGGCGAGCAGGGACTTCATTCTGTTTGATTCTGACAGGAGAATTCCCCCAGCTCAGAAATCCACTTCAAATACAGCACTGTAGAGAGAGAGGGAGGGGAAAAAAAAGTCCTCCTAAACACATGCAGCACACATCCAAACAAGATCTTCAGGTCCTAGACGGTAGACCTGTTTGGTTTGAGGCACTGCTTATCTCCTGAATTATTTACTTTACTTATACAGTTTTCATTAGTGAAAGGTACACTACGCAGAATATGTTCCATTACACTGTGTAATATTAAAGCCTCAGATACACTAACGTCCACGAGTTTGGAATCACTTGCTATATTCAAATTTGTTATTTTATATCAAAGAATAATTTACACAGTGTGGATTTATATTACAAACTGTTCACCAAAAAGAAATGTTTTGTTTCACATTTCAAGAATTCTGTGAACAAGTTATAAAATGATAAGTACAGTATTACATCCATCCATCCTTCCATCCATCCATCCTTCCATCTGGCTTATTATGATGGCAACTTTACAAAAGAAGTTAATGTAACATTTCTATTCATCATAAATTTTTGACAACCTACATGGCAGCATTTTTAAATTCAGACACAAAGTTTGTCCCAACAGCAACAATATATTAATAATAAATACACGGTCTGCAGATGATGTGTTGACTTATTTTCATTTAGAAAATTAGAAGATCAACACATTTCTCATTGTTCAGGGGTGCCCAAACTTTTGCATACAGATTTCTCAGTCGTTTCAGGATCATCTATAGGTTTGCTCCTCATTCTGGACACACCTAACATTTCTTCATTTTTATCTACAGCTTCCAAGAGCCCTACTAATTAGTTGAAACCTATAAAGTTGCACAGGACGAGCATATTAGAATCAATCGTTTTGTAAATGTAAGTTTATTGATAACAGTGATTACAAACTTCTGAATGGTACCATATTCAAATACACCCCACCAAAAACTGACCTGTTTATTTTGTGACTATCCAAATGCCCACTTCCTACAAACGGAACAATAAACTGTCATTTAAATAACTGTGTGACACATGCTGGACAGTACATCTGACAGCACCAGAAGTCCTCTGTAATATTGACAAGAGCCTGAAACAGTCAAGCAGAACTTTCCACCACGCCTATCGGCGGTCATTGACTTCCACATTTCTATTGATTCATCTGTCCTGATTCCGGGTACGATTTCACACTGGGTGGAATTTGTGATGATTTCAACTACACTACGTCTAAAAGTTTAAAGTTTTTCCAGAAGAGTACACTCTCCCAAATAACGGTACCAAACTCTTTCTGGTGCAGTAACCCTCTTGTCACTGGAGCCATACACTACAAGGCTACTTTTAATTAGGGAACATAATTGTACCATAATCCATTGAAATTATATTTTTGAGTTGTGTTGACTCCACACACCCCGTCTTGTCTCCAGGCTTTTTATTTTATTGTTCTGTTTTAAAACATTCGGTTATGAAAAGGTATAAATACGTACTTTTCACCTGGAAAACTTATTTAAAGTTCACAATTGGACCTTAAAACCACTGTTGTACCTTCGAGGGTACATTTACATTGTTTGTACCTTGATGAACAAAAAATGTACCTGCACAGAACCTTTATTTCTAACAGTGTAGAGGTACCCTTTATTTCAGAAACATTGGACAAGCAAGAGTCTACAAACTGAACATTAAATATATAGTATTTCAGTCACTATACGCCTAAATGTGGGAATGCATATTGTATTCCAAGATTTGGAAAAATGTTAAATTCCATAAACTCACAGATGTGAAAGCTGAAACCAACAATAAGTGACTGCTAAGAATTCTGATTTTTGATTATCTTTCCACGTCACATGATCTTTTAATTGCATAAATCCCTTAAAAAAATAGAAATCCTGGAAAAATTCAATTCAAAATTCAATATGTGGCACAATACTCAAACAGTGTTTACATAACATCATAAATCAAAATAAAAGAAGAAAAAATATGAAATAAAAAAGAGAAAAGAATCTCACCTCCTGAAAGGGTGACTGCTCCCATCCATGTGTAGGCAGTGTGGCAGGGACGCCAGGGCAGAGAAACTGAAAGAGGTTGATTTGGGGGTGGGTGGTCTAGTGTGTGTCCCACTTAAGTCTTCCAGCATCTTTATTTAAGAAGAGAACGACTCCCACTTTTACTCAGAATGTCTCTGAAGCTCCTGAGAAGAGAGAATAAACAAGTGAAAGATTCTGATGAAAATCTGTTTCACAGTGGGCAACATAAAAGCAGAGAGCACAGATAAAGCTTCACAGTATGCTTAGCAAGATAAACTGAATGACGATTTCAGTGCTGTAGGCATGCACAAGTATATCGGGATCATATCGGTATTGGCAGATAATTGCTTAAAAAAAATTGTCAGATAGATGTTTAGATTTGACTAATTTCAAACTGATATTTAATGGCCTTTACTAAACTCTGAGCAGAATGTTTAGGTCAAACTGGTCTGCTGTGCATTTTATTCTTATTTACTGTATTCGTAATCCTACGGAAACAAACATTTGTCTGTAATGCTAATCTAGATAGATGTAGTTCCAATGTCTACATTTTATAAATCACTGTCCAAAGAAAACAGGTATCTCCAAAAATGGTAACTTTACAGAAAAGGGTACAAAACATTGGGCCTCATTCACTAATATCTTTCCAAGTCTTTTCTTAAATGTGTTCTTGAGAAAGGTCCTAAGAAAAAGTCTATGTCTGATTCATGACGTGTTCTTAAACCACAGAATTGTTCACACCTTTGTTTGGTGAGTGTGTGTAGATTCTGTTCTTACCTAAGAACAAAACCCAAATAAGAAGACATTGGTGAATGTCAGAATCTTCGTAAAAAACTGCGTAAGTGGGTTTTAAGAAGAATTTTTTTCTTAAGAACGGTTGGTGAATGAGGCTCACTCTTTTCTTTTAATGTAAGTTAATGTAAAGAGATTTTATTCCAAGCAATTTTGGAACTTTATCAGTCCATTCATCATAAAATTTTCCCACAATGTAAAGAACTGTTGCCGTGCTCAAATGATGTAGAAAGTAAAAACCGAAAAACAAAATGCAAAAAACACGTTTTTCTTTGGACAGCGACAAAACGTATGGGCATCGACAGATGTAAACATGAAAAATATCGGATATCAGCAAAATTCCCATATCAGTGCATCCCTACAATACAGTGTGAAAAAAAAATGAATGAAACTCACTGAAATGGTTTCTTCCAAGCTTTTTTCATTTGCTGTCTTTTATGAAAACCACTGTCTATGATCAAAACTAGACATCTAGAATAATCATACATGTTATAGTATCATGTATAACTCCTTTGCTCTCGTTTATGATACCCCTGCTTTGCATTAGGACGTGCTACTTCGCCATCTTTTGTTTTAACGTAAAATGGAGCCAAACTAATCTAGGTAGTATCTGATCTGAACACATCACACACAAAACATCGAAAATATTGAGCTGAAAATCGAACCTGCAAACGGGAATTAAAGGTAAAATGAAAGGTATAAACACAGTTAATTGGCATTCGTAAAATCACGCCTTTTGGGTCCAACCGCTGCGCATTATTGCTCAATTCCTTCCACTGTAAGGGCGTGTTTAGGTGTGCTGTAGGTAGACCTTCCCATGAAATCCCATTGACCATGCGCCCCCTACTGGCAGCCTCCGTTCATTCATAGTTCAACAAAAGGGTACAAACAAAGACTCTTGCATCAGGCATCACGCTTCCTCGCCCCCACACAAGACTTGCTCTTAAAACCGGGAAAATAACAATCATCACTTATGAAAATACAGCTTTAGGAAGCACGCTGTGTGGCCGCACTTCATCTGTTTACATTTCTGTTTCCACTAAAACAGATGCTGTCAGCTTCCCTTTGTTCCCTCTCAGCGTGGCAGGACGCCTCACGTTATATTTATATCCGGGGAACACGAGCGTGGCTGCGTTTTACACGAGCTGAACGTGCTCAGGTACCGAGTCAGACACGAAGCTCTTACTAACTCCCACTAGTTCCTAGTTCGGAGAGGAACGTGGCTGAAGTTGGCTTCCTCTTCGAATTTTTCCGTTCCACCTTAAATGGTGCAGCAGTTCCATTCTGTGTTCAGAGTGTACCGGCGGCAGAACGGAGCTGCTGCACCACTTAAGGTGGAACGGAGAATTCGAATTAAGACGCGAACTTCAGCTCGGCTGGAGAGGAAGGATATGACTTCAGATGACTCTAATTGTTCTCCAGTCGTCTCGTTTTGGCTCTAATCTCTAATCCAGACCTAAACGAGGAAAACTAGGCCCGTCCACAGTCTACATCACCTCATCCTTCCCTTTTGTAATCCGTCTCCATTGTAAGTTATTCACAGGAGAATTCACCTGGTACTCAATGTGCTTCAGCGGCGAGCACGAAAACAGAAACAGTCACGTTACGAATGAACGGAAAGGCTAGGATTTCAGCACAGAAGTCAGTCAATATCAGACAGGCAGCAGAAATAGGAAATTCACAACACAGCGCCTCAAACTCACCATCATGTGCTCCATGTGTAAACTCCATGTCAGCAGTCATGGACGCCCTTGTTGGTTCAACTTTGGGAAAGAAACCAAAAAAAAAGGAGAGTCACAGACGAGGTGAGGGCAGATGCTCCTCACTGCTTCTTCTTCACTACGCCCTCCTGTTTCCCAGCACTAATCCGTGAACACCAGTGCGGGCTGCTGCGGGGTTTGTCCGTCCATCATTCCTCTGCTTTAGCTCCTGCTCGCCCCTCCTGCTTTTTTTTTTAGCTGGCAGACTCGCAGACTGTCCGTACAGACAGACACCAGACTGGTGGCGCTGCTCGGACCTTCAGAGCTGAAGCAACACGATGTAACAAACACGCAGGGACAATAATATCTACGCTATATGTCCACAAGTTTGTAGACACCTGCTCGTTCAACGTTTCTACGTTGTTAGAGGGGAATGTCACCGAATTTCCAAAATTTGCGTAATTCAGTCATTAAAGAGGCACTCAGAAATAAAGCGAAAAATGCTACCGTCGCTACGTCTGTTGTAAATATGCCTACTCGCCTCCTACAGTGGCGCCACAGTAGTCTCCAAAGTGAGATTTCCCAATTTAAAGAAGAGGAAACCGCACCTTCTGATGACGTATCTTGAAGATGGGCGGGCCACTTGAAAACTGCTCTGGAGTGGATGAAGGACTGTTTTGAATTTTATATCTATATATCTATCTATGTGTATATATATATATATATAGTTGCGAATACAGAAGAAAACCAGGTAGCTAATGTTACTTCTGGGAAGCTGAATATCACATTTGTGTTTATTAGCTTCTGCACCAGTCGAATGGGATTCCCAATGGTTGTGTTTGCCGTTGAAGGGAAACTTCAGTGAGAATTATTCACAATGGTGTTAATGGGAACCAGACGTCTGAAACATTTAATGCCTCCTAAAGCTCCCTCACATCATAATTTCACATCAGAACATTCTGAATGATTTTATTATGCAGACATGTTTAAAAAATGTCTTAAATTAAAAAACACTAGATGTTAGAACATTGCAGTGAGGATTTGATTGCATTTAGTCACAAGAGCATTAGTGCAGTCAGTTTTACTGTACTGATGTTGGATGATCAGTTCTGGATCTCTCCAACTCATCCCAAAGAAATGGGATGGAGCTCAGTTCCCCTGCTCCACGGCTCAATGCTGGGGGGGCTTTATACTCTCTTGGCAACACTTGGCATTGGGCACAGTGACCTTAAGCTCATGTACGTCTGGCTCTATTGGTTAATGCTTGTCTAAGGATGTTATGCAAGCTGTGTGTGCATAATTGAACACCTGTGCCAGCAATAGGTGAACTTTAAAGTCATTCAATTCAAGAAGGAGGAGTGTCTGGATATTTTTGGACATATAGTGTTTGAATGTCTGTTCAGTTGTCAGACCATTCCCAAATGGGGAATGTTGTCACACTATGCCTCAGACTAAGTGGTGTGCAACTCAAATGAGCACTGAGAATTAGTCTGTAATACACACTGTCTGACAAACAGCATCTTTATTTAAATAATCCATCATGAATAAGGGCTATATTAAAACTAGAGGGATTTCTACATGACTCCTATATGAATCTTATGATATGTTTGGACAGTCACTCTAGTTTAGGACAGGATGCACAAGTATTATGTATTAGTATAAAACAGCACTGCAGAAATATATTACAGGAGGTGAAAATATTACAATATTATAAGACGTATTATATTGCACTATATATATATTATAGTTTCTTATTGTATTACTAGAGTACAGTGAGGGATTAGGAGCGAGAAAAGCTCATTTTATTGAGAAGGTGTTTCTTTATGAGCTAAATCTGAGTACATAAAACATGTCCAAATTAAAAGTGCAACACATAAATGTTTCTGTATGTGCTGCAGAAAATCGCTGTTGCATGAGGGCAAAAGAAATAAGCATTTAGACATGACCTGGATTGACTGCATTTCCCTTTACCACTAATAGTGTAACAAAATCAGGACACAACATTTCTGACCTAAATGTTGAAATTCTCAGTAGGAGGTCCATTCATGTCCAGTCCAGTTTCCATCCCATCTGCTAGGGAGCCTGGCATAACAGGGGTAATCCTTGCTTTCAGCGCCATTCTCTCTCTGTCCACTTTTTGTCTAAAATGTGAAAAATAATTTCCTATTATTTTATGTACTGAATCTTTCAGTTTTTGCTTTAAAACACTGTTTGTAAAAAAATCTTTATAAAGACAATGATGGCCAACTGTAATTATAATATAATATAATATAATATATAATATAATATAATATTTATAGTTTAAAATGTAAAAAGTATATAATAAAGAAAATATTAACAGCATTGTACGTATGCTTTCAAAATCTGCATATGACGTATGACGCACGGCTAGACGGTCACGTGACGCACACACGCTTGATTTGCTTACTCGACGCGGGAAGTTGAAACATTCATTCGCAGGTTTTTCATACTTTAAAACGCTGCTAAACCTTTTTAAAAACGTGCATATAGCGAGATATAAAACCGTCGGACGTCTCGGCTGTTGAGAAAAGCTGGAGCTGAATCAACTGAACCTCTAAAACTGCAAGAAATCTGCCGACTTGTGTATCAGGATGACTGAAGTTCTGCGAAAGCTAATGCGACGTAGCCAGCTGAACTAGCGAAGTGTGCAGAATGTGACCGTCAGAGGAAAAGCTGCTACCATCTGCTCTCTATGTGAAACGTTATCACTGAAAAGTGTTCACGATAGCCGGACGGATCGAGCTGTTAAAGTTACAAATCCAACAGCTGCACAATGGAGCATCACAGTGACAGACAAGAGGACAGAAAGAAGCACCAGGCGTCCAACATGTGTTTTGGACAGGTATGATTGACTGATTAAAACACTACACTAAAAAATACACATTACGGCATAATCTACAAGTGATAGTCTGTTCAGGCTGTTAGGATTGGCCTAGTTTGTTCAAAAAGGCAAGTCTCGGTGTTTCTATGGTAGTCCTGTAGTTCACCTCCACAGAATTGCTGTTTTTTCCAGCTCTTACACACCTGATTCAGCTCATGAAGGGCTTGATCATTAGCTAGTGACATGACTCTATATGATATGCAAAACATGACTCCGTGCAATGCAGGTGGACTGCAGGACTGCAGGTGAGAAACACTGTATAGCTAGTGTAATTACAGAGGATGGTCTGGGCAAAGTCCTGTATGGCATATAATAAACAGAAAACAGTAGATCATGTGTAAATACGTGTGTCTCATACAAAATCTTACACAAGTTTACTTTTGTGCTTATACAGTGACAAGTTACTGTAGTCCATACAGTTCACGCTGCATCATTTTTCATCCATTATATTTAGCCTGTCCTGTCTGTAACAACCGATGATGATGATGATGATGATGATTTTTCAGTACCAGTACACTGCAGAGGAGTACCAGGCGATTCAGACAGCTCTTCGACAGAGACTTGGACCAGAGTACATTAGCACTAGACAGGCCGGAGGAGGGCAAAAGGCAAGGTGTCCATCTTCTCATACTGCTCTTACAATGTCATTGTTCAATCCCAGTTTGTGGAGCGTGTTTTATATTTGTTGTGCAAAATCCTGGATATTTGTCTGTCTCTTTGCAGGTGTGTTACATTGAAGGTCACAAAGTGATCAGTTTGGCCAATGAAATGTTTGGGTACAATGGCTGGTCTCACTCAATTTCACAACAAAGTGTTGGTAAGCTGAATAATACTTTGGGAATGTATTATTTCGGTCTTCATTTTTTCATGTTCTTATTTTTCTACATTATTTGAGTGCGGTAGCTTTCGCTCTATATTGCATTTCATGATGACTGGACCAACAGAAATGCTCCACAATTGCTTGTAATAAAATCTCTTTCCATTAACTTGCATGAAAAGTAAAGAACATGTTTGCATTCCTCTGTACAGTTGCCATTTTGGAGATACTTGGGTTTTTTTGGACAGAGACAATAAATAAAATCACCTATACTGTTTAATATATGTAAATACTATTATTAGATCAAAACAATCAAGTGCAATTTTTTCTCTCCTGTCCTGCAAAAGGACTTGAAAAAAGTTGCGTTTTAATGTGCTCGGTTTGTTTTTACTACACAATTTTAACATTGTAAATGGTAAATGTGTCTATTATTACTGAAATATAACAATTTATTGCAAGATGTTTCAGGTCATATAGCCAGTTGTTCTGATTGAGTTTTTTATTTCATATATTTTTATCTGTTTGTTCCTGTTCCTGAAAAAAATGCTATTATACGGTCATTTCTGATCCTAAGTTTGTTGTATTCACTTTTCTCAGACTTTGTGGACCTGATTAATGGGAAATTTTATGTTGGGGTCAGTGCATTTGTGAAAGTTCAACTAAAGGTAAGAGTTTGTCAGACCAAATAATTAAGTTAATTGGTTGAGTCTAATATAAGCAGACATAGTTTGGAGCATGTCTTTCTCATAGGACGGCTCATACCATGAAGATGTGGGTTATGGGGTAAGCGAGGGCTTGAAGTCTAAGGCTCTGTCGCTGGAGAAGGCAAGAAAAGAGGCTGTGACGGATGGACTGAAAAGAGCACTGAAGTAATTCTTATTTCTGAAGCATACAGTTTATCGTTTAGAGACAGACAGTTTTCAGCACTTACAAAAAACTAACATGAAAGTACATTTAATAATGTGCATGTGTGTAAAAACTGTTTGCAATTTATTCTATGAACCTCTCTATGAAGGTGCTTTGGAAACGCTCTGGGAAACTGCATCCTCAACAAGGAGTACCTTATAGCCATCAACAAGATTCCCAAGCAGGTCAGGAGTTCATCTGAATGCATATCCTGAATACTAAGTGTGGTTGACTAATTTTAAACTACATACCATCTTAATTCATGTTTTCCTTATGACACATGCCTTTATATTATGAAGCTATTCTTTCACTATCCTCCACCAAGTGATTGCCTCAGGTGGTTACAGAGGAAATGGAATTACTCATCAGGTTGTTCCTATTGCAGCCCCCCACCCCTTTAGACCCAGACATGACGAAGCGTTGTGATGTTGAGCCTTCTGTGGAGAAGGCCAGGTATGACAGCCTGGCCCGCATTAACAGCAGGGGTTGCAATAATCCAGTAGAACCAGCACCACAAAATGCACCCGCAGTACAGACTGTTTTCCAACCTGAGCCAGCAGGGCAGCAGAAAGCAATTGAGTCCAGGACCTCACTGACAAACCTAACAGCACATTCTGGCAACACATCAACTCAGCAGGATTGTGAAAACAGATCCGGCAACATGTCCAGGTAACATCAGATAGTTCAGGTTCCAGGGTGTCTACAGGAAGTAAAATTTGGTACTGATGGCACTTCAAATGTCAATTAATTCTACCAACTTGCAAAAAATTTAGCATAATTTAGTCATTGAGATGTAAACAGTCATTCAGAGTAGTTTGCTGTGAAATGGTTCATTGTAGAGAAACTACAGATTTGGATTTATTTACAGTGGTGATACGAACCAGGGGCTGTGAGGCCTACAACACAAACGCTATCCAAAATGACTAATTAACATACATATCTTATTTTTATTCCCTAAAGAAATGTTTTATTTGAGGGACTATTTTGTCTTAAAACACCCTGTATGTAACTCTGCCATTAATGCATCTGAAAAAAAAACCTTCTTTAAAACTATCATAAAGCAATGTCTCAGGCACTTCATGAAACATGTCCCTCTTTCCTGTAATACCTTTTCTGTGAGGGGAGCTTTTAAAGGAACTACACTCATTAGATGTCTGGTTCCTGTCACCACCACTGTGAACAGTTCTGACTCAGTAAGTCTCTAGAAGTCTCTTTGTTTACATCTTAATGATTTAATGATACAGAAATATTTAAAGAGGTGGAATTCTCCTTTAACTGAGTCAGATTTTCATGAAGTAGCATATGAAATGCCAAGGCAGGAAATAGCTTCTTAACAGTACATTTTACTACAGGTGTGTACTGGTCATCTAATACTTCAATTTAAAGTTCATTTGAACCACCACGGTTATGCAGCTGCTCTCCTACATTCTTAAAAAAAAGTCTGCTGACTTGCTTTCTTTGTCATGATGGTTAGGTCAGCGGCTGACATGGCCGACCTGTCCTCCTGTAACCCCGTGTTGGACTCAAAGCAGCAGAGGAAGCTGAGGCAGCAGCAGCTGCAGCAGAAGTTCAGGCAAGAGATGGAGGCCAAGAAAAATCAGCAGGGCCAGCCACAGCTGAAAAAAGAACACTCTGAGCCTGAGATTCATCCTAAACCAGGTACAACTGAAAGATGAACCATACTGTTAACTGAGCAATTGCTTTAAATAGACAAAATAGTATTTAATTAATTAAATGATGACTTGTGCTAGAGTAGGGACTGCAGATGTCATTACTTTGATAATTTGGGTTGATAGACTCTTTTTAAAGGAATAAAAGGGTGCTAATCCTCACCTACTACAGCATTTTCCATGGCAAGTCTGTCTTCTCAGGCCAGGCTGCAGGTCCCATTAACCACAGTACACCTAATGGACATACAGTGATAACCAAGAAGGAGGAATATCTGGCTGGTAAGAGCTGCTAGTGTGGGTGAAAAGTTCAGCTTCAGTTATCAGCACTAGTCACAAAAACAGGATGCAGTCTTCACGAGAACTGAGGACATTTCTGTGTCAAGGGGCACATTTCTAATATTACTTTCCTCTCAAATACCTTCCTCAGACAACCCAGAGATGTGGGACTTTACTCTGGATGGCATTGATATGCTTGATGATCCAGCAAGAGAATCACCAGCGGCTTCTCGGCCTGCCACTCCTAACGAGCACACGATGGTGACACGCAGTAAGACTCCTCAGAGAGTGGCTTCGCTGAGGCCTCCGGTCCGGCCTCAGGTCCCACTGGTCCATCAGGGCCAAGAAAGGCACACACAATACCACCCACCAGCACCAATTACAGGGGCTAGAGGGGCAGGTAAGGACATTCTGTAGGGCAGCATGTTAAGGTGATATAAATAATGACTCATTGAACATTATTTAACATGCTTTACAGAGTAAATTAATTTACTTTTCAATTTTAATAGATCAGAGTCCATACAGACAAGGACAGTACATGAAGAAGAGGAAACTGGACACTTGAAGATATTGCAAAATTGAATTTTTTACCATTGTAGTTTTATCTTATTTTGTTGCTTATTGTTTTCTGCTAATTTGTACAGAATTGCAAGTGAATAAATATTCATTTTTAATGTTGGTGGACAGTGTTGGACAGATGGAGCTCTGGACTTTAGTATCTACTGCTAAAGGCATCACAACACACCATTAACAAAATGTACAAGATGAGCAATATTAAGTACAAATCACAGTATATTAAGATTTATTGTGAACCAAGATTTAGCATGGACCAGTGAAGGATGTTTACATGATATCACACACAGACACAGTCAAACAGCACTTTTTAGGAACACCTTGTTTCTATACTCATTCTCCATTCTATCAGCTCCATCTACATATAGGAACACTTTGTAGTTTGCAAATTACAGACTGTAGTTCATCTGTTTCTCTGCATACTTTGTTAGCCTCCTTTTACCCTGTTCTTCAATGGTCAGGACCCCCACAGAACAGGTATTATATGGGTGGTGGATCATTCTCAGCAATGCAGTGACACTTTTGTGGTAGTGTCTGCGTTGCACTGGTACAATTGGATCAGACACAGCAGTGCTGCTGGACTGAGAATAGTCCACCAACCAAAAATATCCAGCCAACAGCATCCTGTGGCCAGCGTCCTGTGACCACTGATGAAGGACTATAAGATGACTGACACAAACTGTGCGGCATCAGATGAGCTACTGTCTCTGACTTTACATTTACAAGGCGGCGCAACGAGGTAGGAGTGTCTAATAGAGTGGACAGTGAGTGGACAGTGTTTTAAAAACTGCAGCACTGCTGTGTCTAAGCCACTTATGCCACCACCACATCAGTGTTACTGCAGTGCTGAGAATGATCCACCACCCAAATACATGCTCTCTGGTGGTCCTATACTAAGAAATCGATGGACTACAGTCTAATTGTAGAACTACAAAGTGCTCCTATATGGTAAGTGGAGCTGATAAAATGGACGATACGTGTAGTGTAAATAAAAGGTGTTTTCTTATAAAGTGCTCAGTGTGTGTGTATATATATTTGTTATACACACACACACAAATTTACTTTAATCAAATTAAAATTTACATTTAATCATGATGACACAAAGAGACCTGGATATTATGTACTGGTTGTAGGAAAATATGATTGGGATTAATAAGTGAAATTCCTTTATTCAAAGTGCTAAATAAATCACAGTGTAATTTGTGACTTGGCTATAAATGCTGCCCTGGCAGAAATAAGTCTTAAAATCCCACTGCCCATTTCTAAATGCTCTGTTACTTTTGCATTGAATTTCTCAATTCGGTCCATAATATTCTAACACTGTTTAGCTTGGACAAACAAATTGTTTTTACTAAATGCACAAAATGAAACCATGATGAACCCAAAAAAATGAACCCAAAAGGCACTGTTTCCAATTTTTTTTTTTTAATTAATATTATGTATATACAGTCTTTTAAACAAGATTAACACACAACCATCAATATCATCACCAAAAAGACCCAGGATGAAAATAACTCAGAATTACCATATAAGCAGTATTAATTGCTTGTTTTTTTTCCTTAACTTACAGATTTAATGCTGATTTAATGCACAAATGAGATTCTGTTTAAAAAAAAACCATGCAATTCTGAGAATACTGAATACAGCAGGGTGTGATCTGTGACACTAGTGGTACTCTGAACAGTGTGTGAGAATGTGTTCAATGAAAATCAGATTTAGAAAAATTCATGCACTCAAGTATCAAAAGTAACATTAACCTCCCGTGCCTGTTTAACCTTTAAAATGGTGCATATTCTGCATTGCAGTAACATTTTTTCCTTCTCTAGAGAAGTCAAGCTGATCATTTCAGAGGTGAGGAGTCACTTCTGTGGGAATGGCACTCTTTGTGGCTCGGTAATAAAAATGTTCGAGTGGTAATAGAGCATAAAGACAAATTGGTACTAATGTGCAATACTGTAATCTTTAAATTGTGGATGTTTCAATCCATTTTTGTTATAGGAAATATTTGAAAATAAGTTGTCTGCCAATTCCAACAGGACAGTAATAGCCATTACTGACCATAAAAGATCCACTAAAAAGGAATACTTAATGGGTGGAACATACACTGTAAAAATGATTTAAAGTTTTAACTTAAGAGTACCGTGGTTGCCTTAATTTTGAGTTCACTGAACTAATAGTAAGTTAAGATAATGTGTTTTACATTCTGTCAACTTATTTGAAGTTCAGTGAACTCAAATTTAAGGCAACCAGGTTACTTTAAGTTAAAACACAATCATGTTTTACAGTGTAGTAGTGCTTCAAGGCTGGCTCAACATGAAAACATCTGGTAGTTTAGAAAGGCACCCCATATGCACGTAGTCTGGGGGTGTACAGGATGCTACACCCCGTAGTCATCCCAGACACCACAACCCACACTGCTTCTGTTTACATCCATTAAATTACAGTATGTGTTTTCAGGAATAACAGGGATAGAGTCTAGGCCTGACACAAGCTAGAGTCAAAAGGACTTCCACAAATACAAAAAAAGTTGCAATTTATATATTTATAAAAGAAAAAAGGTGTAAAGTTTGTCAAGTGCTATATCGCTCTGCTTTTAAAACCTTCATATATTGCACATCTTTGTCCTTTTAATTCAAATGCTGGCTAACAACATTTCAATGAAACGTAAAAAAAAAAAAAAAAAAAAACACGTGGGTCCCCTACTATTCATGATTACTACGTAATAACGTCATATAATTTAAGCCTATACCCCATTTTACCACCAACAAAGACTTTCTTTGCTCCATACTACCAACTTACTTTATCCATCTTTTGCTTATTGCTGTCATGCTTAGGTACAGATGATGTGTACTGGCAGCATTTATAGTTCAAACTTGTCAACCTTCAACCGTAGCTTTTTCTTTTTTTAATTACTCTATCCTGTGTAGATGAAAAAGGTTTTCATCTGCACTGGAAATTGTAAGATCACTGTGGTATTATTTTAAATTAGATGTATACCACTGAATTTTTTTTATATTACAAAACAAATCCATGCGTCTTCATTTAACTAGACCAAATCTTAGGATTAAGGCCAGAACCTTAAGTTCTGTCTGAGTCTAGCTTTCCTGTGCTGCTCTGTACACATTGACCTCTAAGTCCCAAAGCTTTCTTGCCCTTCTGTACATACCTCAGGTGCTCAAGTTCTAGCCAAGTCACAATGAGTCTACTTACAGTTTTCATTAGGTCCTAAGACTGAAACACCATTTTCTCAAATGTAACTGTTTCTTAATTTAATTTCTTTCCTGTACAATTTTACCATGACTTCTGTAGAGCTGGTTTTCTTGGTCTAGTCTAGTCTTGTCCTGAAATATATTTATTGAAAACACACCAAGTGTCTTCAGTACACATGTGGGGTGTTCCTAATCCGGTGCCATGGTACTACGCCATTCTGTCTTAACTTGCCTGAGTGCTCCGCAAGTTGGATCCTCCACCGTTATTTCCTGGTTTGTGAGGCCCTGTGGCCACATGGAAGCCCTGCTGGAGGCTATTTGTGGCTGTAGGCTGCAGCAAGCCCACCTGAGCATGTCCTGTTGGCCCCGTCCACTGCGGGGTAGTGTAATGGTAGCTGTACTGCTGTGAGGTCAAAGACAGAGAACCCTTCCTTCCAGTACTAGGGTTGGTGGACACATGACTGCCAATGGAGCAGAGCTGTGGTGCAGAAAACTTGCGAGGGTTTGTCTAGGGGAAAAACACATTCCATTTAGGCAATCACAACCAGTTATTTTACACATTAACAGCTAAATGCAGCAAAGCGTATGAATAATAAAGAACTTGCCAAAAAACCTTTAATAAGAGAACCACCACAGTGCTCCTAACACATGTTCACACTAGTTATAACTGGATTAGCTTAAAAATAAAATCAAAAAGGTGGAATAAGGTTTGTTTTGCTTACCTCATGGCTTTGTGCATTTTGCTTTCCACTTTTCTTGACCTGTGCCAGGTTCATGGCATCCCGAGCAAAGTTATCCACCAGTTGGTGGAGGTCATCTGTAAACGTGCCTTTTCGAGGAAGATTAGTGGCTTGATTAGAACCATTCTCTGCCTTATTTGTGCTTGTAGTCCCTAAAAAAAAGAGAGATGCATTTATAACACTGCTACACTGTTACTGTTAAATACACAAGTACTGAATGTATTAAATGTGGGGGAATGACATGGTACAGAATGGACTGACAGATTAAGCCTAGATGCACAGTAAACAGTAGTGTAACTGGTGTCCAGATATCAAATGTGATGAGTGGCAAAAATAGGAAAATAAAATACAAAGTAAAATTAAAACAAAGAATATAATGTAACCTTCTGACTGAGCATCCTGAACAGGTGTACTCTGGGGGACTGGAATCTCCCCTGTAGCTAGCTGACTGACTGAAGCCTGCCTGCCTTGTGCAGAATATTTGTCTCCTACAAGCAGAGAAAATAATTTGGTTTTGAAAATAGGAATTTACAGGACTGTGTGTAATGGAACTTTGTTAAGGGTAACTTAGTACCTTGTTGCTGGGGGCTGCCATGGTTGCTGCCACTGCGGCTTGACTTGCTGCCCTTGCCTTTTGTGGGCCTCCGCCGACCTCCTGCAACGGCTACAGCAGAGGGGACCACCACAGGGGGGCGTGTATTTCCCATCCGTGCATACAGCTCCTCAATCTCTTTCTTTTGCTTAGTCTGCAAGGCCTGGATCTCAATCATATGTCTGCAATAAGCAAAAAATAGGTACTAAATTAAAAAAAATAAAAAAAAAAACACCACAAAACACACTCCAGTAATCCACCACATAGGGTGTCTACTAAATTACAATAACAGGAATCAAAAAACAAGTTTAGGTATATAAATGAAAAAGTCCTACCTTTCCCTGAGCTGTCTGATCTCTTTCTTGAAAGCTTCATCCTCTGGCTCTGAGTCATTGTCACTGCTTAAACAGCACTGAGAGTTGGCCAGGTTGGCTGGGGACATCCGGAGATCCTGACTGGTGTCTGGTCCTTCCATTG